TATGTATGTATGTATGTATGTATGTATGTATGTATGTATTACGTGCCATATGCTGTTGGCATGCTGGCAATATAAAGTTTGCACATGTTTCTCTTTCTATTGTCGCTCTTGGTTTGGCGTGGATGGACTTCACAAGAGTGAGGGGACATTTTGTGTGATCGGGAATGGTGTTTGTTGAGCACCGTTAGAGCAGGTTGGAACATGATGTGCCCCCCCCCTGTGAATCCCCATGGGTAATAGGCTTGTCATTGCCATTCGATTGCTTGGGAGTTTTCGAATGTATTCAAGGCTTCAAAAGAAGCGCAAGCCGCAGATGAGGAGGCTGCCTGCAGATTTGATTGTCGAAAATTTGGGGAGGGGTCTTGTGCATTCCTTTCCCCACCTTTGCATGCAGCTGCTGTTGCTGCTTGAGCTGGCTTTCCCCTCCTCGTTTTGCGGCAGGCGCAGGCACTGGAAGCAGCCAGCAGAGCTGCCCGCACGTACAGCAAGGAGGTTGTTCAGCGCGTTTGCCAGGCGTGTGTGGGTTTTGGATGAGCCTTCTTGTTTCTTTGTTGACTCAGATGCAACATTTCATGCCGCCAGGACATTGAAACCGCCAAGGAGGAGTCTATTGCTGTGCGGGAGGCAGCAGTCGCTGTGCAATCGGTGTTCAACGGAGTTTGCCACACGAAAGGGCTTGTCACCTTTCTTCTTTTATTTCACCAAGTTTGTAGTTTTTATCGTTCCAAGGCAGCTGCTGAAGCCGAAGTTGCTGACGCGCGAGGGGAAGCAGCAAGGGAAGATGCAGAAACTGCAGTGGCCGAAGATAGCCAATCACCTGAGGCTGAGGCATCAGTTGGTGAACAAGATCAGGCACCTTCAAGTTTTGGAGCTTCAAGTCAAGTGGAAGTGGGCAATTGATGGGTGACGAAGGAGGAAGAAACCACAGCAATGCCAAAGTGGCATTCAGATATATTCAGATGTACTGTACTGCACCGACCAATGAATCCGCGGTACCATGTCACCATATGTCACCTACCAGATTCGTTTCGAATTCCATGCCCACTTTCGAAGGAAGTGTAGGGCAGGCGAACAGTGTGCCGGAGCGGCCTTCCTTCTGGAGTAGCTAGACGCCACTAGTAACAAGTGCATCGCTACTATTAACAAAGGCGTTACTACTAGTAACCATCTCGCGCAGCGGACGCTCCACCGTGAAACGGTGTCCGCCTTGTGCTAGACACTCTGATCTATGCACAAAGATTGAATCCCCGTGAGACATGCAAGCACCAATCAAAGAGTGGAAATCGGAATCATCCACTGTTCCAGCTTTCTTCCAACGCCGAGAGCAAATAAGCGAGCCAAGCCAGCTCTCGTGGCATCAGAGAAGTGTGGTGCGGCACCACAAATGCACCCTTGCGGAAGTACCCGACCACAACATCTCGGCTTCACCGAGTTGAACTCACCCGGAAAAGGATCAGCAGAGTATAGCAGAGTCAACGTTGGAAAGATACTTCAAGGCTTCACGAAGAACACGGTAGATATCCAGGAACGTGGTGACATCTGGATCTTTACTCAACCTGAATCCTTCAATGTGGAAATGAACCGCAATCTCATTGAAAGAAATAGAATTGCAAACATCAATTTGCCATCTCAAATTGCGCAAAAATTTGCAGCATGTGACCCAATCAGCGCTCGTGGAGTGCCATTCGGTTTCCAAGGATACAGCTGAATCGACCCTCCCCACGCCCAAAATGGGAATCTCTGCTGACACATGGCCTGTGAAGGAATGTTCTCAGCTTCAGCCTCACACTTGTGGACGCTGCGATCAGGTCGGTCGGTAGGGAGAAGTGTGTGGACATCAACTAGCCATTGCTCATGCAAGGCAACAGCGGCTTCAACCATTTTTTGCGTTTCAGTGAATACGATGGCAGTATCATTCGCAGTCTTCTTTGCTTGTGCATCGGCTAAGCGATTTTGTGCGATGTGCTCAACTGTAGTGTTCCTCTGGGCAGCCAAGTAATCAGAATCCCACAAATGTGGAACGGTGCCTGGCAAACATTACGTCGCACCTCGACGAGCCGTGCTAAATAGAGCCACCAGGAATAACAAGACCAATCCCGATTCGGCTGACCATAGTAACAAGAAACTACTAGTAGCGATGCACTTGTTACTAGCAGTTTTTTGCGACTAGTAGTGTTCCCCTTGTTACTACTAGCGATGCACTTGTTGCTGAGTGCTGGAACGACCTTCGTTTTGGCAGAGACATAACGACATTTGGGTCAATTTTATCTCGGCGCTCGTGGGGAAATGCTGTTTGAGCAGAATCACTGATCAGTATGTTGACAAAAGTGCTAGCCAGGATCATCCAGGATCGAATGCTTCTAGAGAGGGGGGTCAAGGATAGGATAGGCTTTGCTGTCAAAGTCAAATCGGAAAAACAGTACGTCAAACCAGGCTTTTGAGCACTAAAGTGTGGACAAGAGTCAGCAAGCAACCCCCTAATTTGCACAAGTTTCCGATGTTGTTGTCGTCATCGTGCCCTTGACACATCTCCAAACTGTCTAGGCGGCCTGCTTGTACTTCTGAGCCCAGCAGTTGCATGTCCAATCTCCCTGATTTGGATTATTTTGTGGTGAGTTCAATAGCCGGTGTGTGTCTTGATGGGACAAATTGCTCCTGTAGGACAACTTGTGTCATGTTGGGACCTCATGAAACATGACTGCCTTCATCGGACCCAGGCTGTTTTAAGTTTTACCCTGCGGTGCAGAAGTGCTAATTGTTTTGTGCCTAGGCCTAAGCGCATGCTTGTCGGAGTTGCACAAAAAGGGTGCCCCAATTTCTGGCATGTTTCGGGAGGCTTTAACTCTCCTCTATCTACCAGTATTCCAACATCTTCCATGACCTTCGATTGAACCATTATAGCAATATTCGTCAAGCTTCGACATCAATGATGTGAGAGGGGATGAAGCACCTGAAAAATCCTCACAAACGAACCCAAGGCATTTTGTAAGCCAACAAAAGCGCAGATTGGTGCCGTGTATGTGACACTCCGACATTGGCCTTGGCTGCTTGTGGCAGGAGGCTGCCGAGGAGACCCCTGCCGAGGAGATGCCAGCTGAGGAAGAGCCTTCCGATGTCCAGGAGTTGAACGGACCTTGAGTGCCTGTCTTCAATTACATTGAACTCTGTAGTACGTGTCAGAGATGCAGGAAACCTTGCGTTGACAGGAAGACTCACCTCAGACCGAGGAGACAGATGACTCCGGCTGGAAGGACACAAAAGATGAGCCGCTTGGATGGGGAACACCCACTGGTTGACACACTCAAGATATGCTACAGTGATGATTAGTTTGGCTGATGGGAAGCCAATGCTAGAGGCTTTTCAGACCCTGAAAGAGTTTGGACGGCATGGGAGAGAGTTAGCCAAAGTATCCTGAATCATAACTGAAGTACATGGGCTCTAGGCACAAGTGAAGTTCCCACCAGCACTACCTTGATAATCCAAGGCCAAAAGAGATCACTTGGTCTTCTTTGAGTGTAGCCACGGACGATGTGCAGGACGCGGGAGGGTTCAACTTTACCGCAGCACCATTAATTATGCTGGCGACATGTGCAACACGATAATACATGATAATACATATATACATATACTGTATATAATTGAGATTCTTTGCAAAATGCAAATGTTGGTCCAGGCTTTCGAAGGCCTGTTGCAAATATCAAGGGGCTTTACATCAGATAGGGGCAAGACTTGTGTCGCACATGACCCACAGGTCAAGGGGAACGGCCGTGATTGAGCAACCATGGGCAGCCAAATTCCCAAGTCAGTGCATCGGCCGGCAAGAACGGGCACCCCCTTTGCCAGATAGGCATACACTGATGAAGGTGAGGTCGTGAAGGAAGTGACGCCAGGAGAGCCTGGAAACAGCAGTGCAGTACACCTCCATGGCACAAAATTTGCGTGCGAAAGGCTTGATACCTCGTGCCATCAGGAGACTCAGCAACCTTTTGGTCTCAAATACATGTGATGAATCATTCAACTTTCAGATCCCTCCAGTCCCATCGGTACAGGCCAGGCCCAGACTGGATGAATCCCCACCAGTTGTGTTGGATGTTCTTTTCTATCACAGCTGCAACCATGCACAGCAGCACCGAACCAAGCTGCTGTCGTTGGTCTGAGGATGATGGAACGCGCCTTGATGATCACCCAACGCTCAGAGCTGGAGCATCCATCATTGGCATTGGAAGCGTGCAAAGTTCGCCTCAACTTCGCGGCCTATTTGTCTGAGGGGTACAGGCATAGGGAAGCGCTAAAGGTCATCAAGGAGAGCTCCTGGTAGTGAACACCGAACACCTGATCACTTGTTGCTTGAAAGGGACCACCTTTGGCACTGTTACGTTCTCCACGTGAAACAGTGTCAGTCGCAGGAGGCACAGGAAAACCTGATGCGGCTGGTGCATTGGGCCTTGCAATGTCCGCCGGAGGACTTGGCAGTGCAGGAGAGGCATGTTGTCATGACCAGCGTAACAGTCGGGCTCTGTCAACGAGAACTTCAGATCTCACCAGAACAAAACGGCAGGGGAACACCAAGGCCACGGACGGCTTCTAATTTGTGTGTTGATTATTTTCTCATGGCGAATCTGATGAATCTTTCCATGGGAACTCTCATGCATCATCATGAGCCCTTCCAAGAAGCCAATTGCGCCCTCAAGAGTTTCGTATTGTCCTCCACTGTCATTTCCAGGCGCTGGGCAAAGAAGCCAGAGCCTTGCATTGCTCAGCTGTGGTGGCAGAGGCACTGGACAGGGTTCGGATGGGTTGGAACAGGTTGAGCGCTCCCGGAGTTGGAGTTCCAAACGAATCCAAAGTGGGTCGATGGCTTTGGCAGCTTCAGAATATGAAATGTTGTTGGGGCAAGAATTGGGCAGGGCACTGCTGTGAAGGCATTTGATTCCGGTATTTGAAACACATATTTATTAAGAGCTCCCACGCAAACTTTTCTGGAAAGCTTTCCTCGGAATGCGTCCACTTTCGCAAAGGCCGTAGCCCTGGAGTTTTTTGAAGATGATGGAAAGCCACCACCAGACGAGATGCCGGAGGACTTAAAGGCGAGGAGGGCTGCAAGTGGTGCCCAGCATTGGCATCTAAATGTTCAAGGGCAACAGTGTGCAATTGTATCTAAGAGGCATTGATGTCTCCAGTGAATTGAAGCACTGGTGGCTGCCAAGAGAGTTCTTTGGGAGGAAATGGCGCGCATGACTGGTGCCAGTATGCCTCCGGACCCTCCGCCTAAGCCAGAATGGGCAATTCTTTGTTTGTCTGAAAGCCGTGCCTTTGTGGTCCTGCGTTCAGCACCACCACACATTTGAGGATCATCCGTTGCCATGGCTGGTGCGACAAACCTTGGGATCATCTGCAGCAAGCCGTGCCAGCAATCGCAAGCGCTCAGTGCTGGCGGAGATCAAGACACTTGGAGAACGTTGAAACATGGGGGTCCTGGCCTTACTACTAGGAGCAAGAACGTTACTAGGAGCAAAGGGCATCGCTACTTGGAGCAAGGACGCGACTAGGGGCTCTTGGCCGTACTACTAGGAACAAGAAGCTACTAGTTCTCCGGCCTAAAGAACGCGGAAGCTTAGTTTGTTTAAAACAGTGGCCACTCCAAGGGCATCAAGCTAGGCAAGTGGCGTGTCTTGAAATTCCATGCCTGCACCTACAGTATTAGCTGGGGGGGCACATCCTTGTCCCTGACTTGTCACTTGAGCTGACGACCATCGGTTGCCTGATTGCCTGAGGAGGATGAGTGTTTCAAACATGCCATTGACGCCTTCTCCAGGCGGCCAGTGCACTTCTGGGATTACATGCTCTCACTGCTCGCTCTCTCGATATATCATGATACATCATATTATATATGTAATAGAAATGATTAATTACTGTACATAACTTGTTCTGGTTTTCTGGAGCACATCATATCGTTCAACCACGCAAGTATCCATCTCAATCAAGACAATGGGCATGTTGGGCAATACATAGCTGTTTGGGAATCACTCTAACTCAGCTGAAGCTGCTTTGAGAGCATGCACCTTACGAAACTGTTTCTAGTTGAGTTTGGTTGGGCTCACGTGCCAGTGCACCCTATGAAAGGTGAAGAACTCACCGCTCCTGCCGCTGATCTCCCCAAGCCAGAGCCGGAGAAACAGAAGAAGCGCTTGGATGCGCCTTGGTCTTCACTTTGGGCAGTTCACCTTGGATAGGCTTGACTGAACAGCTGCTATTGAATCTTGATTCTCAAGGGTTGCATTTCATGCGTGCCATGCTCTGACGCCCTGACTCAACTCACTATGAGGAGTTGCCCAGACCGAAGCGCGGCCCCGAGGAGAAATTGACCAAAACTGACCAGAGAACCCACCTGCTCCCTACATTGCTTTGCAGACAGGACCGTGATGTTTTCAAGCAGTACTTGCGGGACCGGGAGATGGCCCGCGTGGCTCACCTTTTGGCGCTTAGTGCCTTGGCTGAACCGAAAGCTGGGTCAAGTAGCTTCAACTGAAATGGATCTAGACAATTTCTATTCCTCCCCGCGTCCTGCTTCTGTTGCGTGTCACATTGAAGTGCGGGAAGGCGTGAGTGTAGGTCAACACTCTGTTAATCTCTGTTATATAAGAGGGGTTTCTCGGTTTCTTTGACATTCCTTGTGAATGTTCCTCCAGCCCCTTTCCCTCGGCCTCAACTGGCTCCACATGGGTGATCGATGACAGGTGATGACTGGGAGACCCAAACACGAAAGAAGCTGGAAGAAGTCCACCGGCCACCTGGATGATCGAACGTGTTGACATCAGGCTTGGGCTTGAGGGCTGAGACCACAGCTCTACATGTCCTTACGCAAAACAGTGGGCGTAATATGACCTTGGATTCCTTACAGTAAATCAACGAGTCACATGAGTTTAGCCAGTGCCGAGCCTTGGATCAATTAACGCACAATGAGAGCATCAAGCTCATCAGCCGTGCATCACTTCGAAAGGATAGGCAGTGCGGCCATGACTATTGTTCGGTTCCCCCGTTGAAGAGAGATTTCCTCGGTGCTTTGACGGCGCATGACGGACCAAGGCAAGCCAAATTCGAGATGGAGTTGGTGAATGTTGACGAGCTCAAGGAAAAGCGCTACTCCCGACTGGGGCATAAGGCAAGAATCTAAAGCCAGTGCAGACAGAGAAGGGGAGAATGGATCCTTCTATTGTCAGGTGTTCATGCACCAGATGCGGAAAATGAACAGATGCTGGAGTGATCCAACCCTCAGCCAATACCCGAGCAGACTGACATTGGCGAGAGAGGGCCGGGTTGACGGATTCACCACATGTCCCTGTAATTGGTTGAAGCCTGTGCGGACGTCAAGGTCGAGAAGCAAGGAGGGAAAAGACCGCGCCAGAGATCCATCAGTTGAAGAAGCTGAGCCGGAAGATCTATGTGAAGCCGCCTGCTACGCAAGCACCGGCACCGCCACCTCCAAAGCCCAAGGCAAGTGAGAGAGTGAGATTTTGACGGTCGACGTGCCAAAACACACTGACTCGAAGCTTTGAAGCAGCACATTCCATAAATTCGCCGCTGGTGTCAGGTCGATTCGTCTTTGGCAGGGTCCATGAAGGCTATGAGAGAGGAGCATGCCTAAGGCTTATTCAGGAGTTTTGCTTGGGCTAGGAATGCCATTCAGACTGTAGATTTGACATACTGATTCAGCCAATGGCCCCAGTCCACATGATAGCACATCACTGCCTACTAGGAAGGAAGCCTCATTGCTTGAATTTCAGATTCACCTTGGCACATCCACTACATCCAGCCATGTTCAATCTCCTTCCATTCATATCGTGTAGGTAGGGCTCAGGAGTCAGTCTCACACGCTGCGTTTGTGTACCAGATTTCGCAGCGTTGCCGGCGCAGCAGATGCTGCCAAAGTTGTTGGGCACTGCACAGCTATGACCCTTCATCGACAGCTTGGCTGTTGCGTGTAGAAGTTGGTGCTGAAAGCCTTTTGTGATACTAACCTAGTGCAACGTGCAACGGGTTTGAGCTGCCTCCGCTGGTCGATTCTGGTCGTGGCTTGGGCCGACCTCTGCCTGGTCATGCTGCGAAGCAGCGTGGAGGTTCAGAAGGTTGAGTCGAAGAAATACCTGTCATGCACGGGCTGCACATGCACCTGCATGCTGTAGCTTGCCAGTTGTGGAGCAACTTGCTTTCGGCGTCATTCTCCTCTTGGCTCAGCATTTTGCTACAATGAGAGGGGCCGAGTAGGCAGCCATCAGTTGGCCATTGCCTTAGTCAACCTTTCTGCGTTTTCCAGTGGCTCCAAGTCACCAAGGCTCGAAATCTGCAGCTGAAGAGGTGCTTCAGCGGGAAGATGTGAAGCTGAATCGGTTTCAGACTGAAAACATCGGCGGGCTGAGGCCCCTTTGGGTCTTCAGGCTGCAGCCGGCTCTGACCGTGAGGAAGTTGATATAAGGGCCTAGGGATGCCTAGGGCCCCAGGGCCTAGACGATGACCATTTTGCCTCCCAGGAGATGTCCACTGCACCTCCAGTGCGCCTGGCCGCAGGGAAGTGGGGCTCCTCATGCCCCGAGTGCACGTTGACAGATGCGAACAGTTGCCCCAGTGACTCACTTCCCAACCAGCCTACATAGTAGTCTAGCAGCCTAGTAGCTTATGCCCATGAGGCCTGCCACATCCATCGTCAATCCGGTGAAGAGAAAGGCAACATAGCTTTCAGAATTGTACCGTACTCGTACCTCTCTTTCAAAAGAGAAGAACCACGTGCTTTGGAGGCCAATGTTCTAGAAATGCTCTCCTACGCCGCAACCTCAGCATGTTGTGCGGCAGACGCGTGTGAGGTGCAAAGCTGACAGGTCCACAGCCTCGGCATTGACCACATTCGAGAAGCGGACATGGTGTGGATTGCAGAAGAGGCCGCCGAGAGTGACCTATTGCAAACCGCAAGCCATCCACTTGAGCTGAGGCCTACAATGCATCTTTGCCTCCGGGCTGGACAGAGCATGTCGATGCCAATGGCCTGCGCCTGATGTTGGCGACAGCAACATGGTCTACTTGTGGTATCGCACACTTTTTTCAGCGCCCTTTGAGCTGGAAAGGCCGGACCTACTTCTACAATACCAACCGCCGTGAGTCACTGTGGAAGCATCCACTAGACCAGGCAAGGGGTAGTGCATGCACACACCCATTCCCGTCCTTGAAGGGTCATGCGATGTCACACGTTAGCTTTAAGCATGCAGCTGCAGCAGGAGTTTGTCGAGATTGCCAACTACTGGAGGCACACCCGAGTGCTCCAACAGACAGCGTCTCCTGAGTGCATTGGACAACAGACAACTGCACAGCGCTCGTTGCAACCGATCAGGAGAGCCATCAAAGCGGGCGGTTTCTGGGACATTGATGAGGAGCTGGTGAAGGGACTCAGGAGTTGGTGGACACACCGCGGGCTGTTTGGGTTTCCAAGGGGAAAGAGATAGAGCGATGTGCAAGAACGAGAGGGAAGGAGGATCTGAAAACTGAGGCCGAAATGGAAGAGCAGATCCGGGCAAGTTTGCCGAAGGCTTAGAACACTTAGATGCGGCTACAGTCGCAGTGAAGTGTGCAGTCTGTCCGATTGCTTCCCTGCGAGCTGAACTTGACTCAGCTGAACCCTTCCAGACCGTCAAGCATTACCCTTCGTATATTTGCAAGGGCTGACTGGATGGAGCTCTATGATGAGACCGGCCACAAGCGCGCGTCTCAGGAGTTCGTGTTGCTTAATGTTGCTTGCAGTTTCTTTGACTGACAAGGGCAGAGAGAGAGAGAGAGTTAACTTAAACATGTTTGCACATACAGGCAACGACAGATCCATATACCCACACGCACGCTCACGCGCACGCGGACACATGCACACAGAGTTTATAAAGATGTTCAAAGAATGAGGCTCATAGTATGTTACATACCACTCAAGCGGGCCATCTTAGTCTTGCCGAGTTTTTGATGGGCATGGCATGTTTTGGCCTTGCCATTTAGACTTGTTTTGACTACTCCCAGGTTCTTCTTCAATCGCAAAACGGAAGAGAGCCTTTTCAATGACCCTCGCCACATCACCTATCATAGCTTGTACACTCGGATAAGGCGGGGCGCTGTGAAGTTCCTCCTGTGGACACTTCCGCACATTGATTCCCAGGTTTGTGAACATGATGAAGGAGAAGCTGCCATTGTTGGCGCTGGCCCCTCGTGCTACTGTCGGGGGCTTCCTTGATCGTGTCAGTTAGACCTGCTGGGTGCAGATGGTCTGAGGATCCGATTGTCAATATCTCAGAGCTTGAGCGGCAGCAGAAGGCCACATCTCACATCACTCAACTCAATGATCCAGTGGTTTGAATTACCCGCGCAAACGCACAGGCAGCGGAGGCCAAAGCGCTTGCGTCGGTCACGCGGATGCAGGCACAAACGATAGGTGCAGTGATGTTTGGGCCGTTGGTGCTCAGACACCCTCCAAGTCTTGAATTTGACTGAGCACAGAAACCCGAGGCGGCCGTGCGAGTCATGCTTGCAAGGTGCGCGCACCGCAAAGATGCCTGTCCCTTTTTGTGTGCAGATGAAAGGCTGAAAGAATTGTAATTACAGAAAGTAATGCAGAAGAGACTGCCAAGATGAAGCTGTGGCCAGGCGAAAAGCGCGGCTCCTCCAAGCCAAGCGATGTGTCACACTTAGGCAACAGCACCGTATGTGAGGCAAGGACCAAGGAATCTATGCATGTACCTATTTGCGCTATTTGCTTCAAGCTGGCTTGCACTGCACTGAGGCCTGAACCGAGTTCCGCATGACATGAAAGGGTGCCTGTCTCAGTTGGAACAAGCTCAATGTGACCCTCGGGCCAGAACCTGAACTGGTGAGTGGCATGCTAGAGTTTTGTGTGATTGAAAGATTGCACATGATTGAACAGTGGAATGTTTGTGCGGTTTCCAGCGAATGACGCATTGAACGTGCCTGACGATGTGATGTCCGGACAGGAAGCTGCGCCTGACGGTCCGAACGGCGGTGCCCGGCACCAACCAAACTGAGTGTGTCGGGGACTGAGCTGTGGTCGACATTCAACAAGGCCTTTTTAGAACCAGATGACCCGAACCAGAATAGCGCTGGTATGTAGCAGCAGGAAAAAAGTGCTCATTCACCTTTTCTACACATTCCATTTTGCTTGGGGTTTGAGAACAGTCAACTTGTGTGGCAGGCTCCCATTGTCTACACGTTGTGCAACTAACATGGACGTAGAAAAAGGCCCAAGACTAGTTTCCTCTACAAACAGGAGGTTTTCCACTTCCATGTTTAACATTTTTTACTTTAACTATATAGTTCCAGGATGTTCCAGGGGTGTAGTTGTTCGGAAGACTGACTACTGCTGGATTCCCTCCACTTCAGAGACAACATGGCAAGTTGCTTCCTTTAGCACAATAATATTGCCAAAGAGCACATCCTTTCATCATTTCTAAGCATAGATTCCCTGACGTTGATCGCATGCCCCAAGATACTCGTCCTGGCATGTAAATTGTCAACATGGCTTTGCCCGCGCCAGAGAGCCATTTGAGTGAGCAAGAAACGTGGGGAGGGGAAGTTTGCACAAATCAAAGTGCGAGCCATGAATTCTGAGGGAGTCACTGTCACTGGCGCTGAGGAGTCTCACGTTTGCAGACACTGTGTGTGTCCAGTTTTTCAATGTTTTGCTTGCTAATGTTGTCATCGCAGTTATAAACTATAGATTATATAATTCTAACCCCCTGGTAAAATGTTCGGGGCCGGGGCTTTACTGTAAAAAGTTGTTCGCCGCAATAAAGGAACCTTGCCGCAATCATGAACGTCCAACCTTGCAATTAATTGGAAAGAACCAAACGAAAAACCATCGGAGTTGAAATGGCAATGAAAAGGCTTTAAGTTAAAAGTATTTGCTCAAGAGTTGGTGGAAAGTGCGGTTTATTCGTTGGCAGTGGTTTGTGAATTTCCTTTTAGTAGATTTATGTTTTCGTTCCTCAAGGGCATTCTAAAGAACATGGCAGAAACCATGTAATTAAGTAGTGGTTGAATAGTTGAAGATTAACCGTATTATATAACCGAACAGCTTTTTGCTAATTCACTCGATCCGATTCACTCGTTTCATAATTGTGATGTGATCAAGAACTGCCGTACATTTGTGATAGATGATAGATGTCGAAACTCACAGCCAGCTGGAAGTTTGTTTTGCTTTGCCATGAGTATGGTGCAATGTTACACCGGAGATTCAGTCAGGTATCCAGTGTTTGAGTCATTCGACGACTACGACCTGGACGAGAACCTTCTTCGAGGAGAGACTGAAAACTGATGGACTTCTCTTGGACTTGAGCTGTTGGAGGTGCCCCTGAGATATGTCACCTGTGTGAGGCATTTATTCTTACGGCTTTGAGAAGCCCAGCGCCATCCAGCAGCGTGGCATCAAGCCCATCCTGGATGGCCGCGACACCATTGGCCAGGCGCAGTCAGGCCACGGGCAGTGAATAGCTGCTGAACTGACAGAGGGACGCGGGAAGGAAACTCAATGATTCTTTTGCTTTGGGTTGGCTGGGAGTCAGACCTCAGAATTTTTTGAAGGATAACATGGGTTCCGAAGATGAGATTTTGGGTCATGGCGTGGCGACATTGCGTCACCATTCATGGCACCTTTTGATTGACAATCGAACTGCGCCACGCGTCGGGAGGCACTGGGAAGACGGCGACCTTCGTGATCGGCGCTTTGCAGCGGATCGACTACTCCAACAGCCGATGCCAAGCATTGATGTTGGCACCGACTCGGGACACTTGGGCGAATCACCGGACAGAGAATCGAATGGTGCAAGAATAGAATCAAGACTTGAGAATGTGATAGCTGGACCTGACTTGTTTCAATGCAGCAATGGTGAGTATGCACTCTTAGAGCAGCAACTTGTTGAGGAGCTTGCCAATCAGATTTACAAGGTTGCCTTGGCTCTTGGGGATTACCTCAAGGTCAAAGCACATGTTTGCATCTTGGAGGTGTGAAACACACTGTGACTCTAGACGGGAGAGCTTGTGCAAATGTTCCTTCAAGAGCAGATGTCGCAGGGACATACTGAGCAAGGCTCAATCAAGGCTCAGTTCATCCATTGATATCCTTCGATAGTATGATATCAATGATATCATTTGGTCCTGAATGCCAACAAGCCCTGCTTGCATTTCTACCGTGTCATTGGTCTTTGACATGCGCTGAGGCATTGGTGGCACTGCAATCAAGGACGACGTGGAAAAATTGCGGGCTGGTCAGCACTTGGTGGTGGGAACGCCAGGCCGCGTCTACGACATGGTCAACAAGTGCCTGGGATATGTTCTGGGAAGCAGTTTGTATCCCTTTCCTCCGAACCATAGCCGGTAGGCGAAAGAAGTGCATTCAAAAAGAATCAACAAGATGTTGGGCGTGACATACTGTAGCAAGTTCCGCGGCCACATATCATGGCCAACCCACAAGGAACAACTTACGCGTCGATGACTTGAAGGTCTTCGTGCTCGATGAGGTCAGATGGCAATCTCTTGTTCACTGCTCTGATTTGAAGATGCATGAGATGTCTCATTGGCAGCAAGCGGTTGTATATCCTTGTTCTAGCAGCTTTTTGCATCCACTAATTCTCCCAGTCTTGACCTCGATTGGCATGGAACAGCTTTCCACAGTTCTCCCAGCCAGGCGGACGAGTTGATGTCTCGTGGCTTCAAGGATCATAGTGTCATAATATTACACAAATTACTTGGATGTTATTCTTCTGAAGCTCAAGACCTGTTTCTGACCACGAGCAGGATCAGATCTACGACATCTTCAAGTGCCTTCCACCGGATGTCCAGGCACTGGGCTCAGTCCACAGAACGGGCTCCTAGTAGCTTGTTGTTACTAGTAGATACTATAGTAAGGCCAGGAGCCCCTAGTAGCGTCCTTGCTCCTAGTAGTAAGGCCAGGAGCCCTAGTAGCTGTCTTGCTCCTAGTAGCGATGCCAGGAGCCCCTAGTAACTAGTAGCTTCTTGATTCTTGACTAGTAGTAAGTTTTGCCGATGTCAAGGGGAAAGTTGAGGTGTGCCTGTTCTCTGCCACCATGGCACCGGAGATCTTGGACATGACCTCCAAGTTCATGCGCAACGCAGTGCGTATTCTTGTGAAAAAGGCCCGGAATGTGGGCCCGATCACAGCCTCTTAAATTGGAGCGTTCGAGTTTTGGACGTGCGGAGTGACTGCATGCACGATGTCTTGACATGGCATCATTTGCAGGACGAGCTGACACTGGAGGGTATCAGGCAGTTCTACGTCGCGATCGAGACGCCTAGTGGAATTGATCCCCAGAGAGGGCTGGATGACACCATCACCAGTCCTCCATGTTGACATCACTGCTTGAATCTGTTTGATGCTGCTTGTCCATCACGCTGGGCACTTGATTTCTAGCTGCACCCAGTGCTGCATGTGAGGAAAGAAGAGTGGAAAGTGGACACGCTCTGCGACCTGTACGAGACCTTGACCATCACCCAAGCCATCATCTACTGCAACACACGCCGCAAGGCCAGGTGGATGGCATGAGATGTAGTCCAGTTTGTAGTCCCATGGGGTATTGATATTGATTATTGAGTCGAGTACATATTGCTGAGGGTCGTCAGTGTACTTGAACTAGGTCGACTTCTTGCAAGACCAGTTGGTGAAGAGAGACTTTACTGTCTCCTGCATGCATGCTGAGCTTGACCAAAAAGAGCGAGACTTGGTCATGCGCAACCTGGCAGCGCTCAGGATCCAGATCCGTACCTGAACAACAGCAAGAGCTAGATTTGAATCCTTGAAACTCAAATCTCCTACAAGCTTAAAGATGAAGAGCGTCGCACAGTGGAAAGCCATGGAAAGCCATTGCTATTCTATGCTATTCTGTCTCTTCAAGGTGAGTTCCGCTCCGGCTCATCACGAGTACTGATCTCCACAGATCTGCTGGCACGCGGAATTGATGTGCAACAGGCCTGGCCAAATCTGCACAGAATGAGTTGTTAGGCACGGTCGAGCGAGGATTGTTCAAGTTTTGCGGATGTTTGCAGTTTTTCACGCTCCATGAGTCAAGATTCGGCAGAAGCTGTTGAAAGAGTGGGTGAGGTCTCCCTGGTTATCAACTACGACCTGCCAGCAGCTCTGCAAGCACTATACACACAAAGTATCACAAAGTCATGCCAATAACTATTCTACTCCTGATGTGACATTGGCAGCCATGAATTACCTTGAAGGTAGAGTTGAATGCGTTCGAGTTCTGGTGGCTAGGCAAACATGGAGAACTATCTCCATCGCATTGGTCGGAGTGGGCGATTTGGCCGAAAGGGTGTGGCAATCAACTTTGTCACCAACAACGACGTGAGGACCATGCCACCTGCCTATTGATACAAACTCCAGCTTCATGTGAAACATGCATGAACATTCAAGAGAAAAAGAGAGAAAGGTAGAGGGTGTTTGTTTGTAAACGGTATGCCGATTCCTTTCCATTGTTGTGTCGCTGTTCCTTTTCTTAGAGCTCGCTTGTTGTAAGGAAGGATATTGAAAAGTTCTACCACACCCAGATTGAGGAAATGCCGGCAGACACCCTGTTGCAGTGGTATGATGCAGATGGTCGAGCGTGAACATGTTCCTTCTTGGTGAATACAGCGAATACCAGCGAATTCCGCATTTGCTGCTACTGTTTTCTGAGATGATCGGGATGCGGCAGGTATATAAGTCAGCTTAGCAACACAAGGTTATATACATACTGTAAAAAGTCCGTCCCGTGTGCACCTCACACACCTCACGACCGACAATGTTAGTGCCCCTGCTGCGATTTTGGATGCGCTTGTTTGCACCAGGAGGTGGCACTGAGACACGAAGACATACCGGGACTCTTCATGCTTGTTCAATTGGTTCCGTCAAAAATTCTTCCAAGATCCCTGGACACTATATGACCTTAGGGCCTTAGGGCTTAACCCCGTGCTCGCAACTTTAGGGTTAAGAACCCTAGAGCCATGCCCAAATTGTAAGTTTTCGCCTGGAAGTCTGGAGGCACCAGACTTTGAATCACACCGTTTTGTTTGGAACCCTGAACTTATTTTTGCATTCAGGAGCGGATCTCACGTTGCATTGCTTATCTAGCCCTATGATCCACTAAGAGGCCCAGCAATCATACAAGTACGTCGTGTGAGTCCATGCCAGTTGATTTCTGGTGTTTCTCAGCAGGAGCAACTTTTCCATTAGCATTCAGCATGTCCCCAAATGCACAACACTGCCCAGCCATCACTGTTCTAAGGACATCGCCGACCTCATTTGAGAGTGGATGGACCTATCCCAAGTTGGATCCGAGCCGGAAAGCCTTCGAAGACTCCTTCCTTTGATGGGTGATGGGTATACACAAGGGAACTTCTTGTCCTTAGAACCTGGTGTGCACCTTGCGCGATGTTCGGATGTTCGATTGTGGATTGGTTTGGAGAGGCGTCTTTATAGCTGGGCTTCTTGAAGTTGGTGTCCTGCAGTCTGTTCATGCAGTTGTCCAGTGATCCAGATTAGGCCGATTAGGCATGCCAAATTTGTACAGAGGGCATGCAGGTTTCGCACCATGATTCACCTTCCAAGCTTGACGAGAACAGCAACCCCTGGGGCCCTGGCTCAAACCCGCTATCAATCAATGATCAGTCAGGGAGACCAGGACTAGGAACCACATCTGTATATATTGTTACTTTGTAATTTCTGAAAAATTGCGGAGCAGACTGCCTTGCACGATCTTGCTACGCTTAATATGAGTGACACAGAAGGAGCGGTCTTAGTGATATCATTTGGATGCAATTGGGATGATGAGTGTAGTCTTGTATTTTAAACGGGCAGTGGCAGGGCCAAGGTTGCTGAATAGTGCAGAATCCAAATCTTGCTGAAGGTGAGGCAGGGCAGATGATCTCAGAACAACCACGGAGCCCCCACTGCACGCTGGGGCCACTAGGAATCAGAGGTGGCCCCTCAGCTGTGTTTTTTGATTTTCATTTGCTATTCGGGATAGCTCAGATCCTTAGACCACTGCCCTGCTTAGCTCCGAGAAACGTGCTTGGATTTCCAGTAGGTGGGGTAATGCTTGCCCGACAGTTCTTGGCTGATGAAGGTGTCATTTCAGTGCGTGCCACCGATGGTGCCAATCCTCATAAACTCATCATTTTCTGGTGTGTGTGTGTGTGTTCTTTTTTTTAAAGGGACTGATTGGGAAATACCGAATGGCAGGTCACTGCAGCTGAGAAAGGCCTGGGGTGGGCTTGGCCGGCCACAGGGCCATGGGGGCTCAGTCAGATGGCATGGGTCAAGCCTAAGGTGCCGTGAAGGCGCAAGAGGAATGCTCAGAGTGAGCCCAGCTGAAACTGTGATGGTCCGTCCCTTGTTGTTTTATGTAGGGTTATTGTTATAGAATTGATTCCGTTTGCTGGTGTATTCTGGAACTTTTTACAGGAGGCTCACCTGACAGATCCTTGCAGTACCGATTTTTGCATGTCGAATGAAAGCCCCACTGACAGTACCCTAGTGGGCGGCTTCAGCGCAAACAAAGCCTTTGGACTGTCACAGCAGTTTTCAGGGCCAGTGTTGAATGGTGCCACCCGATGACCATCGATGATCCATGAGCGCTGAAAAAGATACAAAAAAATGGTTCTTCCATGTTCTTTCTGCGTCCTTCGGGCTTGAAGCCAATGTGGAGCAGATGACTTGTCAACGATATCGTTGTGGGTTGCACCGCACTCCGATCATCGAAGCCAAAACCGTCGCTGAGGTGCTGCGGGTGACTTCGTCCTACCGTCGCAATCGAGCAGCAAGCAAAATCCAGGCGAGCTATGCGAGCTCAGAGGTTGAGGAAAATGAAGAACACTGGAGTTGCTCAATGCTGTGAGGCAGACAGGAAGGGTGTAATGTTGGATGCTGATTAGTAATAGGGTCCTCATAATATAATGCTAAATTTTTGAACATAATTCTGGATCCCCTGTTTGTTTTAAGGGTCCTCTATTATGCTTAAAACAATTGTGGATCCTAATTTTTTATTATCTGAAAAATATTTAGGGATAATTATATGTCCTTTAGACAAATAGAAATAGTAATTAGTAATTCTTGATACTACTAAACCAATGGTTGGCTTGCTGAGAGTATTGATAAGTATAGGTTTCTATAGTTCTTCTTCAACACTGACAGCTTCCCAAAACCATCAATTCCCTAATCAATCCGTTATGTAAAGATTGCGCCTAAACAAGTTTTCAAGGTAGTAGACCAGGAAGGCCCGTGATCCTCAATAAGTAATTTGTTTTAAGGGTCCTCAATTGTGCAAAGTTTTTTCCTGAAGGAAAATAGACATGGTAATTCTTAATACTACTAAGCCAATGGTTGGTTTGCTGAGAGTATTGAAAAGTACAGGTTTCTATAGTTCTTCTTCAAAACTGACAGCTTCCCAAAACCATCAATTCCCCAATCAATCCTTTATGTAAAGATTGCTCCTAAACACATTTTCAAGGTAGTAGAGCAGGAAGGCCCGTGATCCTCAATAATGAATTGGTTTTAAGGGTCCTCAATTGTGCAAAGTTTTTTTCCTGAAGAAAAATAAACATGGTAATTCTTAATACTACTAAGCCAATGGTTGGCTTGCTGAGAGTATTGATAAGTATAGGTTTCTCAAGTTCTTCTTCAAAACTCACAGCTTCCCAAAGCCATCAATTCCTTAATCAATCCTTTATGTAGTAGTATGAAGTATGAAAGGATTGCAAATAATGCCTAATGACAAAGAATTTCAGAAAGGAAAAATAATACTACAATCGATTACAAAAGAAATCCTCCCAGGAACCCAGAATTGTTGTGGTGGTAGTTTATTATAGAGGCTCTTCCATTTGTTTGAGGGAGGGGGGGAAAAGGCCCTTTACTAATCAGGATCCAACATTAGTCAAATCCTTTGGAATCGTTCATTTGAGGTCCACAGGTGAATTAGATATCCAAAATGATGCGAGGCACGCATCCGTGGCTTCCTAGCACGAAGACGGTACAGACCGATGCGAGACCACCGACGCTATTTGATCCAGAACACCATCAGGCAACCTTCTCAGTTCTTGTGATTGCAACCCGATGTATTATTAGACATTGAAGTACATAGACTCAAAAGAAGAGACAGGAACGGACCCAAGATGACATGATCCTGGCCCTTGCCACAATCACTGCCTGTCTCGCTTTCGCCCCTCACTGCAAGGATCCAAAGGGCAATCCGCCGTTGGCTCTCAACCTTGGCTGATGTGAAGGCAAAGCCTTCATTGTAGCCTTGGCTTTGCAGCTGTGTTTATATATGTTTATACGCACAGTTGTTCAATGTCATTCACATATCTCTCTATTATACAATTATGTACGCAGTGTACGCCTTGGCAGTTGAAGCGGTCGTACGCAACACGAATCCAGAAGCATCTCGCTCCATGCATCCAAAAGTATCATAAAGTATCCCAATGCCTTCGAGGCAGCCCGACAGGCAAGGGTACAGGCTGTTATTCGAATGCAGTGCGCAGCTCATAAACTTTCTGCCGTCGTCAATGATTTCTGCGCTTGCATGCTGTCGTTTGATGATCACCCTGCTTTGCGCGAGCACCTTCCCGAGGTGCTGGGCACGGTCAATAGCTGCACGTAAGCTTTGCCGGGTGCTCAAGTGGTTGGGCAGGGCCAATTTCGTGCTGTATGGAAGAAGATTCTAGAGAAGTTTTGATGTTGCTCCCACGGTCGCCTTCAATGACCGAGCTGTGTGCTGCTTGACTTCAAGCTATTCTTAGATGCGGAGAAGCTTGGTGCCAAAGCAACTTTTGTGAAGCTCAAGCAGGCTGGCACGGCAGACCGATACCAATCTCAAGAAACGGCTCCGGCTTTACACTATTTGGATATACCTTGGTGGCATCCGTTCACATCCAGGTCCAGGTGTCTATGGATCACCCGCGCCGGGTCTAGGCTAAGCATTCTTCTTGGTAGGTAGTCGATAGGCCAGCATGAGTGAGGCTTCTTGTTGAGTATAGGATGGCCTAGGGATGCCTAGGGTATACCTTCATCCTACGACTTGGCACATCTTGGCACACTTTTGGCGCAAACAGAGCAGTACTGAATCTGGACGATTCTACCGGAGGTTATATAGCTGCTTTCAGTCCGCAATCGCATGTGCTGATACTGATAGCGCTGGATAGCCATAAATGTCGCTCGCACGGTGCGTGAGAGTTTGGCTGCAGGTCGTCATCCACATTCAGCCCCCAAGCTCAGTCCATTCATTTTCTGTGCCCATCGTCACATCGCCTAGATGGTTTATCATGGTTTATCTACATTCGCGGCAGTGTGTCACTGTGCTGTTGGTCAAGCCCAGGTGCCATGTGCGCCAGTGGTTGGCCAAGCGACGTGTCCGAAACTCAAGCTACACTGCGATGATTATTTATATATCATTATTGACCAGGGAGTTGAAGAGTAACCTATATTCCACACAAGCAGAACTCTGGAATACAATATCAGAAAGCCAACTTTTGGGGAATTAGCAGACGATAAATTCCGACCGATTGTGAAGGATAAGGCCAAACATGAAAAAGATGTGGGGGAGGGTCAACATTTTTGGACATTCCTATTATATCCTATTATAGTTTCAGCTTTTTGTATTTCTAGTTATTGTTTGCTGAAACCCTTTTGAATTATCAAAAGATGCAATCAAGATGGAAGTGCGCTTGAGAAGTTCGTATGTCTCAACACTGTGCCAAGATCCTGGTCACGCTTAGGTCAGAGAAATTCGCAGAGTGCATGGGGCTTGGCAAGAGCTGGCACTGTCAACTGAGAGATTGCCAGATGAATCTGGTCTGAGGGATGTTGCCTGGATGTAACCACTACAGCACGGAAGCAAACGCAAGCCATCAAATGGGGAAGTGGCCATTCTTGCGGCATCCAGGAAATACACACCATCCGTGCGGATGATTCAGCGCCAGATGAAGGCTGGATTTTGTCGGCTCCAGCCAAGAGGAGCACCACCGTCAAGTTTCCCTACAAATCTAGGAACCAAATCGTTAGAAGCGTGAGCTATCCTGCATCCATATGTAGTCGCACAAGTAGCTAGTAGCAAACTTCTCCCTTACTTATATAATTAAGTAGGCGCCTACTCCTACTTAATTAAGTGGGAGCAGGCTAAATAAACAACATGTGGGTCAAGTTCTTCACAGCTTCACCTTGAGAGGATCTCAGCGACCGTGTCCGACCTTGTCCCCGCAAGAGAGTCCCCTTTTCCTTTTCTTGTGGAGAGGCCAAAGGTGAGATACGGCGAGACCTTTTGCGGATCAGAAGTTCGCAAGGGGGTTGTAGCAAACCGCACCAGTGGTAATTGGCACAGGCCACAAGCGAAGGACATGCAATTGGCTTTGCAATTCACGGGTCATGCCATTCACCTTCAACAGAGTTTTGCTCGTTTTCCTGCGATTCATTCTTCTACACAGCCTCAACAACACCGAGCCACTTGAAATATAGCCGACTACAATATACTATACCATGGTTTTATGTTTATAGCTTTGAGTCACTCAAGAAGTTAATGAACTGTGACAAATTGAAACCTGTGGGAAGCACACCAATCCTGGCTGCTCCTCGGTCCACTCCGCTGCTTGTATCCTCCTCAGTCCTCTTTGTCACCCTCAGCAGGTCTTCAAAGCCAAGGCCGAGCTGATGCAGCACTTGCGGAACCACGAGCCGGTCCGGAATCCACACGTTTGGCGTCTGGCGATGCAGATAGGAATGGCATGGAATGGCCATATGGCCATGGCTGGAAAAAAAAGCTTGAAAAGAATCATCCAAACCCAATTGGAAAAGGACAGATTGACTGAAGATGTACCTGTGTGTCCTTTGGTCTTGCAGACTTGCGCTTTGAGTCAAGAGCCACAACCATGTGATTGCAAAATGGGATGGTGAACCAAGCCATGTGCCTTAAGGCACCCCATGCCGCCTATTCGTACAAGGATTGTTTTAGTGGGACGATGGACGGAAGGAGACGATGCCTTGGACGGATTCATTGGGAAGCTCGTGTGATGACTGTTGCGTTTGGTCGTACAAAGCGAGTTGGAGGACGTGCATGTAATAGTTGCCAGGTGGACCTCATTTTTCACCTCACCTCTGGCCAAAAGGCATGAGTTGGTTGTAAACGATGCAAACCAAGCGTATTGTAAGTCGACGATTAGTCAATAGGAGCAGCATTGGCAAGAGAGTGTCCCCCCGTCAGCGTCAGTTGTCGTTGCAGGGAAGCAAGATCTTGCCATTTGTTTGGAAGCTGGGAATGCTACCAGTTGGTGAGGCACTGCCGTGCAGGGAGGAATGCACATGAAATTGGGGCAAGTCAAGATCGCAAAAAGGGAAGGAGCGATCAGATACAAACAAGTCTGTCATATTGTCCTGTCTTAGTAAGACCAAACACTTCAACCGCGCTGTCGGCACATCGTTTTGACACGCCCAGAAGCTTGGGACATGTTCAATGCTCAGCTGCTAGCTAGGGGCATGCATTCTTCCTGGCAGGATGGGAAAGTCATCAATCCCGAGGCTCAGCCCTGGCTAGTGAGGCTGACTGTTTTGCTACCGACTTTTGGTGGCCAAAAAGTCAGGCCTTTCGGGATCAAAAACGGCTGGAGAAGATGAGACGGCAAGCAAAAGTCTACCGCAAGCAGAAGGAGGTAGAGGACGGTCAAAAAAAGCACACGTGCTGGCTACTGGTTCATCAGTCTTCTCGTTGCTGCTCCTTTGACCTTTAGAGTGTCAGGATGACTTTGATGAAGAGCCGTCCGCCACCCAATGCAGCCAACAAGCCTGTATAGACTGTTCATAGTGTGTCATAGTGCCAGACGGATGCATATTAACCCTGGAGGGATGGTTTTCGATTTTACCAGTACTATTTTATGCTGCCTGGAGACTGAGGGCTGACAGGATGGATGTCCCACCAATCCCAAGTTTTGAACCAAATCGGAAGTGCTGCTCGCAACGCCCGCAAACACAATTGGCTCCTGAGCCGTCGGAGGCCCAAATCTATAGACCTCTTTTCCAAGGCGCCCATGAGCGTTTTCGCAGCTAAGCTAGCTCGAGTGCTTGTAAGGCTAGTACATTGTACATTGATGTACATTGCAACCATGTATATTATATAGTCGTTTAGAAGCTACTTGCAACGTAGGATAATTATATTTTTTGAGTTCATTTCTACTATACAGCAGCCTGCACTGCTTGCGCCTTTTTTGCCTCTCGAGCTTGAACAGGTTGGCCTCGAATCGCTTTCTGTGGCCGCAGCGAGCGTGATCCAGCAGACCTTCCACGCGACTCAAAGCAGGGGCGGCCCAGTTCTGCAATCACTAAAGATATCCTAAAGATGAAGCCTTCATCCGTTGGAAGGTGGCCAACTTATGCTCAGCATGGCCCGTTTTCAAACAGACAGATTCTGACGAGACACCATCAGCAACTCACCGTTAGGCGGAAAGAAGTGCAGGCGCAGAATGGAAGGGAATTGGCACCAAAAATTGGGCTTTGGATGACTCTGCTCAAAAAGTAATAGAGATTGGCATCCGTGCAGCCTTACACGGGTCATTTGCTTGAACCCTTTTGGGACCAACAGTAGTTGCGTGGTTCATCATGCACGGTGCTGCGTCCTACGCAGGAGAGCCTTTGCATTGATACGGGATGTTCTGGACACTGCCGTAGAAGCTGCCGTGGGCTGAGTGCTGATCGTCTTTTCCCCCATTTCTACTCTCAGAATTCGTGCTTGGCATATCCTGGCATGCTAGAAGCTGCTACGATCCAGCGGGGTGTTCAGATGGTCTGGCTCGAGCGATGCGGCTGTAACACAGATACTTGGAGCCGCTCATCCTATTGAGAGCGATGACCGCGAAGCCAGCCAAGGCCAATCGATTATATAGCTCAAATTCCATGCCACGCATGTCCATTGCTACTGTATTTTTTGGTAGTGTGTGTATGTATGCGTGTTTTAAGTTTTTTCGTTCATGTTTTGGGGCCCACTTCATGTCTGGAGGGGACCTTTGATCGTGGTCATGGGCGAAATCGCCTCTTCGACAACATCACTGAGACTGCGCCTCGTTCTTGCCGCGTGAGTGACTTTTTTGCCATGTGCTGCTGCAAGTCCAAAGACATAGATCAAGCGTTGGAGCCTGTACTCTATTTTTGTGTTTGCTTCTCCTGAGATTGGAAACACTCCATGCGTCAAGCTGAACGAGCGGCTAGCCCCGAAAGGGCGTACGATCTATGTTAAGCTTGAATACTTCAACCCATTGGGCAGTGTAAAGGACTGGGAGCGAAAGCGTTGGAGCCAACACCAAATCATACCAAATCCCACCAACAAACACTAGTAGAACTTCTGACTAATGTGAACATCTTTGGTGGCCAAATGTCGTTGGATAAGCTGGGCCCAAGAAAGTAATTATGTAATTTAGATCATTGTATATTATAGTATATTCAATCCACGAGGAGTGTTCTGTTGTTGGTGGACAGTACGCTGCTGGGAGCCATTTGGGGTTACAAGATGTTATGAGGTGATATCAAATTATCATGGAAGGAAGAGATACAGCATGCTTTGCCTCGTTTGGGATGATTCTTTACGGTATTTTTATTTCGGTCACAAAATTTCCACCGAAAGCATTCCGGCACGGGACACAGTGTTGAAGCTCTAGAGCACTCCAATGGTTTGCTCTGGCCGGTGTGTTCTCTGGTGGACGGCCGTACCAATCTCTAGAGAGGGAGAGAGGGAGGGAGAGACACACCGTGAGGTACCGTCTCAACAAAAGAGCCCTGAGGTAGATTTGCTGTGATGCTCGGCTCTTTGTCCAAAAGTAGACAGCTTCAAGGAGCAATCCATTTTGCCAACCCTCGTAGGACCGGCTGGCAATTGGAATCATCGAAAAGGCTGAGCAGGAAGGACGGCTGAAGATGGGGGACACCATTGTGGAGGCCACCAGCGGCAACACAGGCACCGGTGTGTTGCGGGACATCTCGAAAGTTGCCTAGAAACTCTTGGAGCAGATAGTTGTCCATGCCAAAATGGGTCAGTCCAGATGTTTTGATGATTCTTCATCCTGATATGCCCTTCATGGTGTTTACATGACCAATGCAGCCATGTCGCGGCTTTGCCTCCAGCCGCAGATCTTCCAGGCATTGGCTTGGCCATGCTGTGTGCCGAGCGGGGTTACAAGTGCGTCATCGTCATGGCGGAGCCCTTCTCGGTGGAGCGGCGAAAACTGATGCGCTTCTTGGGCGCGACGCCTGGCCCAAGAACCCAGAGGCCACGCCATGGCCTCTTGTGGAGGACATGGGGATGGGTAGGATTCTACGTTTAAACCACCAGGTGCCAGAAGAAACAGTCAGCAAAGCACATCAAGAGAACCAAGACTTTGTATTAAGTATGAGGTTCCAGTTGTTTGTGCGTAATACAGCCACATATAGTGCCCTACAGGGATCCTTTGACGACTTTGATGTCTGTTTTGCATGCTGGAAGCTTCCCTGGGTGGCTGCTGGTTTGAGTTATATATATGCTGAGATTGGTGTAATGCATTCAATTCATGCATACTATTGCATACTTATACACTTATACAATTTGATATTGTTTGCCTTGGCCCCCCCTGTCGCAGTTTTCTTTGCGAAGGTTTGCATAAGTCGTTTGCCGTTTGCTAGTCATTGCGTCCCTTAATCGCAAAGAGCCGAAGAGCCTGACGAAACCAGGGTCGCGGCCTGTTCGCTCCAAACGGCAAAGGAAGGTGGTCCTCACCCCAAAGAGTGGCAAGGGCAGTGGCATGGTGGAGAAGGCCAAGGAGTTGGCAGAAAAACATGGTTGGATGCTTTGTCGGCAGTCACTTGGTGTCGACTCGGCATTTGAGTCAGCACATGCAGAAGCACTGTGCCTCCGAAGCCAAGGTTTGAAACTCCGGCCAATGCCAAGATCCACTATGACTCCACTGGTCATGAGATCTTGAACGACTTCGAAGGCTGACCATCTTCGGCATACAAATCTACAAAGATCCGGTTCATTTCATGGGTCAGACTTGAGGGGGATTGAACAGACGGACGCTCAGTTTTGCTCAGGGACCAGGCTGGACTACTTCGTGGCGGGCTATGGAACTGGTGGGACGTATGCTGGTGTTGGCAAACTTCTCAGAGAGCGGAGCTTAGTGATTTCATGCATAGTTGCAACCCATATATGTAGACGGATATATATATATATATGTATACATATCAATGAACAAATATACATGGTTTTTCTCTAATTATTTGTGTGTATACCTGGAACCCATTTGACCACTGTTTTAATAGAAAAAAGATGAAACATGCAATATGTTGGGTCTAAAATACGGGTTCTATGTATGTGATTCGACGTTCTACATGTCCTTGACTACCACTGCAGCACGTGCAGCACTGCATCACTACCACCACCCATCAGCTTGTTCAGCTGAGGAGAAAAGACCCGAGGTAAAGCTTTGCTTAGCTGAGCCTGCAGATGCTCCACTGGTTGCTTCGGGGCATAAGATGGAGCGCTCGCTGTGTGGTTTTGATCCGAAGCCAAATTGAATGGGGCACGGATGGTGCCAGCTGTCAGCCGAACCTATGTTTGAAGGTGTCATTAATTTTCAGATTCTTTTGGTCATCACCCCGGCTGGCAGGACAGATATCCAGATGGCTCATGCAAAGCTACACATCCAGCATTTCGGCCTCATCCCATCCAGGGCTGGACTCCTGATTTCCTGGCCAAGGCTGGGCGGCATTTGAAGGTCTCAAGCTGGATATTATATGGGGAACAGACTTCAGGATGTCATCAACAATTCTGGTATTTGCGTGTAGTGATTGCTCAATCTTGTCCACCAATTTCTTGCTTATATACCCAAGTATCTTGCTTACCTATTAGATCCTATTAGCATGTGTCAAATATGTTAGATATGTTCTTTGATCACTGCCATTGGGATGCAAAAGAAGTGCAGCAACTGCAGGCAAACATTGACCTGTCAATACTCATCCCTGCAGCCTCAGTACTGCTGTATATTCCATGATGTACATATAGATCCCGGCGGGTTTGAATAGCGGTGGTGTTTTGTGGAGACATCATGGGTTTTTGTGTGGGTTTTTGCGAACCTGGTTGTTGGAGTGAAATTGTCAGAGTCTTCTTTGTAGAGCTAATTTTTGGAGCGTTCGTTTATGGACTCTCTCTCTATATGTATATATAGTATATATATATAAATAGAAACTTTTGTGGAATGAAGTCCAAGAGCTTTTTCGTTTGCCCAGTGCTCAAGGATTCAGGATCTTTCGACCACTTCTGTGCCAAAGGCTTTTGGGCCAAAGCGAAAAGTGTCCACGCAAAAATGAGTTGAGCATAGAGGATCATAGAAAACCCCCCCACAGAATATTGTGTGTCCCGAAGTAACCATTATTGCCAGTAGAAAACGAACCTTACCACTTGGCCCTCCCCCACTCATTGCATCCTGGACTGCACCAACTTCGGCAATGGCCTCGCAACCAGTGAAACTGGCACACTACTGGGAAGGACATGAGAACGACAAAAGTAGCGCGAAACAAACGGGTGCTCAGGTGCTCCATCTCGCAAAAACTGACTTCGCAACGACCACAAAATACGCGCACAATGAACACCATTGCAAGCCGAACCCTTTTGCACATACTCTGTGTGTGTGCTTGCATCACTAGTTGGAACTCCAGGCGCGCAAGGGGTCTCTTGTTTGTTTTGTCAGGTTGCTGAAGATGGGATCAAGGAACTGGGCTACGATGAGTACATCCCGATCCCCAGCGGCGGTGCAATTGAAATGTCCTTGATGCTCAGCCAGACCCAGGGGATCTTCACAGGCGGGTGGGCGGGGCGGGTGAAGCCGGGAGCTGATCCGAGATCGGTCGATGCACCAGGTATCTCAGGAGGTGCATCAGCTTGGGCGGCGATCGAGGTGGCCAAGAAGGCCCCAGAAGGTTCAGCTTCTCGGAGAAGTGAAGCCTTGTCGAAGCAAAGTGTCTCGTATCAGGGCTGGAAAGGCCCTCAGACTCTATTTGATCCACCCATCCCGGCCATGTGGAAACGAGAGAGGTAATTGAGGTGGTGGGGGGTGGATCATCATGGGCCAGTCTTTCGTGTGAGCTTGCCTATTCCAGTGAGGTCATTCTGGCAGTAATTGCTGATACGGCTGAACGTTACCTATCGACACCGCTCTTCTCGCAAGTGTCGGCTGACATGGATGAGGAGACTGGTTAGTTGAGGTACTCATGGTTTGTTTGACAATGTTTGATTCTTTGAAGGGACCACTACCAATCAGGAGGAAGCTGCAATTTCGAAGTCCACCCCGAGCTTCCAGCACCATGGCCAGCACACAGTGCAAGTACGTAGGTTCGAGATTGTTTGGCTAGACTTGCAAGCCTGCATGCTCAAACTACAGTGTGTTCAGCAGTAGTGTTTGTTTTCGTTTTTTGCTATCCCTCGCTTTGAGGTTGGAGCCAAAGGAGTAAGAGACCAATGTGTCCTTTCTCGGCATGCACTCGAAGAGTGCTACTGCCGCAGGTTGAAGTGACCGATGCAACCAGAAGCTGTGTTTTCAAGGTTGCGATGCTACCTGTCAGATGCTCCTAGCGTAGTGACCTAGCGTGCAACTCGCATGACCAAAAGCAATGAGTGGCGTGCTGTGAGAGTTCATATTCAATCAGCGGGCGATGCTCATATATATAGTTTAAAGAGGTCCAGAATCCAGCATAGAGGACAGAAAGCGAGCGCTCAGGCCGCAGACCTGGTTGCTGTGAGAGCAGCTGCAGCATCATCCTCAAGCTTCCCAACTGGTGCTGCATGTTGGAATTGGGGAGTTGAAGTTTTTGACGTCATGTCGTTTGCCGATTTGTCGTGTGACCACGTGGCCTGCAAGGCCCCGCAAATTCAGCGAGTCTTCCGTGGATGGCGGGTTCGGCTCGACCCTCGGGCCCTCGAGTCGATCAGAGCTTCCCGACATGTCCTCGTCGATCCTTCTTTTGGCACTCGAGGCGCAGCAACATTCTGGAGAAGAAGAGACATGCCTACTTTGTGAAAAAGCTGGAGCAGCCGGGCTCTTTGTTGAATTCAGCATAATTCAGCCGTCTTCAGGAGAGTTTCAGATGTTTCAGCAAGTCAACGAGACACAACTCAACCCGTCCTCCTTGGCCAAGGATTGAGACGGTGCAGAGCTTCATGCACCGCTTTGCTTGTCAGGTGTCTTTACGAGATTTTTGCCGTGAAAGCGCGCACCTCAATCGCTTCCGACATCGACCAACGTGCGCTCAGCATTAGCAAACTGCATCACTGCAGAGGGAACCGTTGCAATGATTGCCAAATATTTACGAGGCAGAGTCTTCATGGCTGCCTCCAAAATTCAAGCTCATGTCCGTGGTATGCTCACCCGAAATTATGCGCGCGCCTGAGCTTGGCGCCACAGAGCCGCTTCGTCACTCCCTTCACCAAGTGATCAACACCAGCTTGCAAGGTCGCCCGACTAGCCGAAGAGGCAGCATCAAGCTTAAGGGGCCCAGGATCAACCCGCGTCCTCTCGCTATTAGGTTGGAGGACATTGCTTTTAGGTTGGAGGCCATGGCTACTAGGGTGGAGGCCATCAAGCTTAAGGGGTCATGCTCATGGCACCCAGGAATGGCCACTCAAGGGATGGTTTGAATACACTGGCATGGGCCTGAGCCTCAGAGCCCCCTTTGAGACGCCAAACCAGACTTCATACATCTTCATACTATTGGATATTGTTGGACTTACAGCGGGTTCCATGTTTCTTGGTTAAAGAGACGCTCAAAGACAGGTGCATTCAGAAACCATCTTTTACTGCACCCACACCCGTTTGCACCTCGCTGCGGCAAGCATCACGCCGCGCCAGGACGCGACTGCGTGCAGCTCAACGTGAAGTTTCTTCTAAACCCCAGGCTTCAAGCCCCAAGTTGTATCACAATATTGATATGATATGATATGATCGTCATATCAAAGATGTGCTAAGCTAATGATTTGGAGTTTTGAAGGTTCCATGATATTAATTTGTTCAGTTCGCTTCAGTTCAGTATTTGCTTGTCGCTTGGATCAGATACAGTAAGTTTGGTTTACAGGTGTTTACTCGTTGTGGGTGCCACACTATATGACTGGGACAGCAGTATTCCCTGACTTGGAAAGAATGTATGAGGCCTCAAGACTCAAGCTCATGTTCGCCAGCTTGGAATGTTTTTTCTCCTACACGTTTCCCCAGCTTTGAGTCTCCTCTCGGTTTTTTTCTTATCCAAGAGACTCTCCGTGCGCAGCTTCGATGCCTTCCGGCACTTCCGGAAGTATGGGAAGCAACAGACACTCCTCCAACGGCTGCAAGAGATGCAGGCGGAGGCGCCCTGATCACTAGTCACTAGTCGTCTTCTTTTTCACTATGAACCAATGTTTGGTGCTGGGAAAGGGGGTTGTCCTCCTCACTGGAATTTATTTCTGGGGACCGTAGCCGGGTTCAGCTTCTGTTGATTGTTCTCTCTCTCTCTCTGTATCATATATGTATCCCACATATACATATATTATATACAAATATATATATATACACACCGGTTTTTGGAGTGTATGCAATAATTACACACTGCCCCCCCGCTTGAAAAAGGGATCAACACCTGGCTTCACAGCACATTGGACTCAAGACTGCTGCTGGTAGGCGCTAGGGTTCAAAGGATGTTTTTCAATCAAACCTCCTTTTTTGACATGAATGTAGTACTTGGCCTTTTGTACAAGCTCAAGTCATCTCAAGTCCATCCACTATTAATCCTGATGTTGAAACCTTGGGTTGAAGTCTCTTGCAGTGCGACTCGTTCCAACATTCCGCTGCAGATCGACAGCTGCTTGCGCATGTACCTGGGTCCAGCAGAATATGCTGCCATGGAGGCCAGGCCAAGCACAACCGGGCATACTACGGACATGAAGACGGGGTGCTGCACTTCATCGCACCCACCCAAGTTTAGTGATTTTGTTGGCAGGGCTGGTTCTGTTAGGCACGAAAAGCCGCTGGAAGCGCAGCGCAGCGTGCCAAAGCAGAGGCTGAAAGAGAGCAGGAGGAGGCCAGACACCTGATATCATGTGATACTATCGCTGCAATTGGTTCCAAAATTGAATAGGAGAGTATTCGCAACGGGCGTAGAAAAGCCAAGGTTGCCAAGGGAGTGTGACTCCACACACACCTCTATCGGGGTTCCATAGCTTCGGCCATCTTCAATCCATTCCCTGCAATTTCTGAAAAGAAACAACCCTAAACAAGACTTGGCGCTGCAAGAACAACGGTGATTCTGACAGGATGACAAGGCATCCAGTAGCGCATGCATTTGACATCATAGTACCCCGCGCTGGGACCGGTTGAAACGACGGCAAGACTTTGTGTTGAAAACTTCATTTGGTGGAACGGGCTGTCAGGTGAATGCCATGGCAGCTGCCGATCAAGAATCGTTTGCTATAGAAAAGACTGCCAACGGCCTAAGACAACCTTGGAACGCAAACCTCTTGACAAAGCTGATGACCAAGTGGAGAACACAGTCTCGAGCTTGCCTGAAACGCATCCTGCACAAATTGCTGAGGTGAGAGCGGAAGAGGCATGGCAGGGCATGCATCAAAGCAGCCACGAAACGGTGTAATTACATATTTAAGACCGCCAGGCGGCAGTGCGAAGAGAGGAGGAAGAGAAGCTGCGTGCAGAGGAAGAGGAAAGGCTTCGCGCAGAGGAAGAGGAAAGGCTCCGTGCAGAGGAAGAGGAAAGACTCCGCGCAGAGGCAGAAGCTCAAAGAGCAGAAGAGGTACTTGGCTAAGCTGCCATCGACACATATCAACGCCAGTTTCTACACCTCAATTAATGATTGCCTGGAAGTGCTTGTTTTTACACCCGCTAGGACGCCAATATCAGCACGGTGAGCCAGGCCAGAGAGTTGACAGCCACCGACTGTGCAGAGAAGATCAGGCATATCATGGCATATCCTTAGATTAGAGTAAGCAGGTTGGTGGAAGTTGGTGGTTGATGTGTTTGATTTCCTCTCAGCTGCAGATCATGCTTGAGCCGCGTTTTTCTCGCCGCCTGAAGGCCTTGGCCAACTTCACGTATGCTGCACAAGCATTGCTTGGTGAGGCCTTTGACTGTGAGGTTTCGGTGATTGGCTTTACCATGGTTTACCTCATCAAACCGAGCCGATGAGAGTGACAGTCTGTGGTACGATGCGCTTTGCGATGAGTTTGAGGCTGCCACCTAGCCTGTTGTTTGTTGTATAAAGATTATCAAGGTGAGGCCGAAGCCAGCTTTTTTGTTGGCAGGCTTGGCAGTTCAATTCCGCGCAAATCGGTCCGAGACATCATGGCCTAAGAATCCTAACATTGGGCGCTGTCGAAATATGTCAGAGTTTCAACACGGCACCTATGTTGCCACAGGCAGCCGAAAGGGTGACAGTGACAATTATTCACAACACCTGTGCGACCAACATCCACTGGATCGACTGAACAGCCTTTGCTAAGTTGGCACGACCCTACTGGTGCGAGGAGCCAGCACCTGTGGAGGAAGTAGAACCAGCTGCTCAGCAAGAGGCCGCCCCACTCCAAGGACTTTGCTCTCTCGCCAGTAGAGCTGGAGTTTGGAAGCTGTTGGTGGCAGAAACGTCCAGCTCCACACACCGGGCACTTTGTCAATGTACACCATTTGGATCCATTCAGCATATCTCTCGTGTGCTCAAACTGCGCTAGGCGGCTGTGAGCAGGGAGGCGGCTGAGGAAGTGCAACGGCCAGCCGAAGATCAGGCCATTGCATTGCACGAGCTCATCGACTTCATTATGTAATTATACGTTATAATACCAATAGGCAACTGGTGGTTAACAGACATGTTTGCCTCCTTTTGGTTCGAGCCGCGCAGAAATCAACAGTTTGACACTCAAGCAAGCCATTTGTGGAAGCCACAGTTGTCACAGTTGTTTCCCATGCGCACCCATTGTGGCAACTCATCATGTTGGAGTGTCATTGGTGCCTGAACATGCAATTATGTTGGTCTACCCTTCAAGAGCAGATCGGTTTGCACAGCGAAGCTTTGCCCCAACCCATTTTGCTCATT